TTTACCAACCTGGCTTCGACGGCAGCTCTTGCTGCTGGACTTTACGTCGGCATGTCGTATGGCAGAGAAGTGCCAGGCCATATGGGATGCAACAGTTGGGGTAAAGGCCGTCCTGCCGAATTTTAATGGTGCTCCACGAAAGGATCAGTTTGCCAAGCAGCAACATAATCGGCCACGTCCTTATGAAATGCCCATGCCCCTGGGCTACCCACCAGTAGCTGAACCACTAGCAGAAGGTGCCACGCCTGCACTAGAGTATTATAGTGATGGGCCATTACAAGCAGCAGCTATACAAGGCACCCAGGGATCATCGTTACCACAGTCACAATCGCAGCCACAGCAATGGACCCGTCCTTCCAAGCAGCATGTTCACTGGTCTCCTAAGCTTCAAGACACTCGACGGCACTCTCATCAGACATTGTCACCACGCCGCAACACTAGTCATCGGAGGGCCTGGTGTGAATATCATCGTCTAGAGGGGCATAATACGTCAGAATGCCGTGCCAACAAGCGCTGTGTTATGGATGCGGGGAGCCTGGTCACTTCTTAGCTTCCTGTCCCTTTCGTACCAGCCGTCCAGGTCAAAACTCCCAACCCTCAGGCGGCAGTTCCAGTCCAAGGGAGGTCACCAACCAAGAAAGCTATGCTGACATTGAGGGGACGACCACAGGTCATCTTGCCAGTCAACGATAGGAAGATAACCTGTTTCATAGACACTGGCTCGGAGGTGACGGTACTGAAGGAAGAAGCAGCCAAACTCCTACCTGGCATCCGCATGTTGCGCAGTTCTCGGACACTTAAAGGAGTTGCCGGGATGCCTAAATCTGTTGAAGCCGAAGCTGATCTGAAGTTTACCATCCACCCTGGTTTAGACCTTGTGCACAGGACCTGTATCACCTCTGGCATTCATTTTCCTGGGGATATGCTCGTTGGGATGGATTTGCTTAGGAGATTGCCTGTGGTTATATTTATTTCGCCGAATTCTAGTGACAGTTACTTGGAGTTGGATGGTCACCGTCATGTAGTCACGTTTGTGGGTGAAGAGTCTTCGCACTGTTGTGAGGTTCCTGCATGTCATGAGTCCAGGGGAGAGCTTCCGGAGTCTTCCATTCCCTTGCAACCTCGCTACGTCTCGCCTGTGCATGTGACTGAAGCAACAACAATCGAACCTAGGGCTGGTAGATTTGTAGCTGCTTCCCTTTCACGTAGTGTTCCTGATGAAACTCATGTTGCTGTCATTGAAGGAAATGCGGCCCGTTTGCTCGTTCCACGCACCCTTATTACCGTTCAAGAAAGGAGGTCAAGCATTTGGGTGGTAAATACAGAACCGAAACCCCGGAAACTAAGTCCTGGTACTATTGTGGGTTATGCCGAACTCGTAGAAACTAGTGATCTCCAAACCACTTCCCAGTTTCTTCAGATACCCTCAGGGGGTACTCTCAAGGAAACCATTGATGGTAAGGCTCCAAAGTTACGTGACTCACCACCCGAAGATGTGTCTTGTGAAGACCTTGGCTCCTTGGAAATAAGTACTGCTGAAGCTGTAACTCCTGATTCTGGTTATCGAGGCAGTGCACTGGGTGCATTGAATGAGTCAATTGAACAGCATGGATTCATTGAAGATGGGTTTGAGAGTTTTGATGCGTGCCTTGACTTTGGCTACGAGCCTGATGAGTTTTTTGTGTTTCCTGAGACACCTGCCATTGATGAATCATGCCAAATCTGCAATGAACCCCAGCTGGATGTCGCCAGTGCCACACCATCGCCTAACACCGATGGCTCCAATCTGTTAGAGGAACAACTAAGCCTTAATCACCTAACATGCGAACAGAAGTCTCAACTGACAGATATCTTGAGGAGTTTTCCCAGACTCTACACAGGGAACAAACACACTGTAGGAACTGTCCCTGGCATTGAACATCGCATTCACACTGATGCCAATGTTCCAGTCTGTGTACGCCAGTGGAGACTGCCGCAGAGCACAAAGGAAATCATTAAGCAGGAGTGTAAAACAATGTTACAGCAAGGTGTGATAGAACCTTCTACGAGCCCATGGTCATCACCAGTCGTCCTCGTCAAAAAGAAAGATGGTTCTGTACGCTTTTGTGTGGACTATCGAGGTCTTAACAAGGTAACCACTCCAGACAGTTATCCACTTCCTAGGATAGATGAGCTCATGGACTCTCTATCTGGGAAGACGTGGTTTACCGTTCTCGATAGCAGAGCTGCATACTGGGCCATTTCTGTTCACCCCGAGGACCGCCCAAAGACGGCTTTTACAGATGGGAATCGCCTGTATCAGTTCCGACGTCTACCATTTGGGCTGTCAACAGCACCAACGACATTCCAGAGAACTATGGATATTGTTCTCTCTTCTGTTCTTGGGCGACACACTCTTGCTTACTTAGACGATGTTGTGGTTGCATCTACGTCTTTTGAAGCTCACCTGAATCATCTCAAAGAGACGTTAGGACTTCTTGAAAATGCAGGCATGAAACTTAACCTCCACAAGTGTGAATTTGCTCGACAGGAAGTCAAACTACTTGGTTTCATTGTTGGGAGAGACGGTATCCGACCGAACCCTGACAAGGTACTAGCAATTGCTGCCATGAAACGACCCAGATCAGCACGTGACATCCGTAGGTTTCTTGGTGCATGTGGATTTTTCAGGGGCATATTCCACGATTTGCCACTATTGCTAAACCGCTGACCCAACTCACAAAGAAGAATGTGAAATTCGAGTGGGAGATGCAGCTCAACAGGCCTTTGACACTTTGAAGGAGGCCTTGGTTAGAGCACCTGTCCTGCGCCTTCCAGATTTTGATCGACCATTTGAAGTTCACACTGATGCTAGCGGTCAGGCTCTTGGTGCTGTTCTACTCCAGAGGGAAGCAGATGGGACGCCACATGCGGTTGCATATTGGTCAAGGGTATTAAAGGAAACAGAAACTCGTTATCCTATCATTGATTTGGAAGCCCTTGCAGTCGTGGAAGCTATTAGAATCTTCGACCCGTACATATATGGTAGATGCTTCACTGTCTGGACCGACCATAGTCCACTGACATACGTTTTTTCAAGAAAGACCAAGAGTACGAGGCTAAGTAGGTTTGCTCATGAGCTATCTGACTATAATTTCACTCTACATTATAAGCAAGGGGCCAGTAATTACGTACCTGACCTGCTGTCTAGACCACCAGGAGAGCCCATCCGATCTCCTGATTATGCTTGCCCTGTAGGAAACTCTGTTGCTGACCCTGAGCCCAATCCTGATACCCCACTGCTGGAAGTACCCCCTTCAGTGCAGGATCAGCAGATGCAAGAACCGCAACCACATCAGATGCCCAACCTCACAACCTTGGCCTCTCAGCAGATGAGAGAACAGCAGCTACAGGATCCCGTCTGTACAGATCTGATAGCCTGGCTTGAAAGACGTCAGTCATTGCCTAAAATTCGTCTGCCAGCAGCTATAAGCGACTTCGAATTATACGATGGAGTACTATATCACCTTCGTCATTTTCCGGATCGAGTGGTTAAACAGATTTACGTTCCACACCAATTATGTAACCAGGCATTACACCTGGCTCATCAACCTCCAACGGCAGCCCATCAGGAGCTTTACGCACATATCAGAACTTGTGTAATAACTGGTTCTTCCCAAACATGCTTCACTTGGCACGAACATATGTTGCGAGCTGTGAAACTTGCCAGCGTCGCAAGGCTCCCGTGGTTAGAGCACCTATGCAAGGACATCCACCTTCTAAGGCTCCCTTAGAAATGGTCTCCGCAGATTTAATGGACCTTCGCCGATCTGCACAAGGGTTTCGATACGTTTTATCCATTATTGACCATCATACACGCTATCTCCAGTTGGTACCCTTAGGGATAAATCCGCAAGCAGGGTTTTAAAAGCCTTTGTTGACCATTTATTACCTTGTTTGGTCCTCCAGCCCAACTCCACACAGATAATGGATTAGAGTTTTCGTCTGATGAGTGGCGTTCACTATTGAAGGAGTTAGAGGTGAGACACTCCTTTTCTGTTGCATACCATCCGCAGTCAAATGGTGTAGTTGAAAGGAGCAACAGAGTAGTAAAGGATGCTCTTGCCGCCCTGGTACAACAGTCACCTTCACAGTGGCCTATTCACCTGCCCGCCGTACGCTTTGCCCTTAACTCGGCCATCCATCGGTCCACCAGTGATCAGCCTCTGTACCTGCTGACCGGAAGAATGGCACTTTTTCCTCGCGGCCTGACAAATTTGCAGACTATTGATGAGGGGCAGATGGTAAAGTGTCTTGCTGATGCTCGCCGTATAGCGATAAAGACAACTCTAGAAACTCGCGAAGCCAATAAGAGATATTACGATAGGAAGGCGAAACCTCTGCACCTAAATGAAGGATCCTTAGTTTTACGTAAGGTAGAAGGTAGTACCAGAGCCTTAGATAGCCGATGGAAGGGGCCTTTTCGAGTTCTAAAGAAGATTGGTCCTGTTACTTATGACATTTTGGAACTGCAGCAACCTCATCGTACTATGCGTGTCCATGCGAATCAGCTCAGGCCATTTGTTCCCGCATCAGAGATAGACTTTGTAGAGGAGGGTGACCAGTTGCCGTATCCACTTGTGAACTTTGAGTTTGATGCTGCACCAGAATCGAGTGAACTGCTTACAGACAGTGAGAATGGGAGCGGTGATGTAATGGACTTCTTCGTATCTAATCGAAATATGGTATTGGTATACATCAGTATTGCTCCTGCTGTGTGAAAGGTGCGAGTGCATGAGTAATTGTATATGAATGTTAAAGTTCATGGTCGTGAAGGTGAGTGAACTCCAAAGTTTTTAGGTTACTTTTATACGAGCGTTTATATTTCTTTTGAGTATTTTATATCTTGTTTTTCGTCATGTCTTATCTTGCTCACTTTGTTTTAAACACTTACCTCATTTTAGTTTTTTCATTTGATTTGTTTTTTTAACTTAATAAAAAGGAAAAGAAAATCAGTTTGTAAATCCCTCAGTTGGCACAAGTTAAAGTTTTGGCAGTTCTTTCATGGTTGTTTCACCCACCTCAAAATATGTGAATGTATGCTTATCTGTTGATTTCTCCCACAGAACTATGTAATGACACAACACTCACAAACCTGATTCAGACTATTCTCAGTGATGTGTGCCAAAGATGTCTTGAGTCGCTCCGCCTAGCTTCGCGACTCCCGCCCCGTGGATGAATTGTAGTGTACCCTGAGGTCCACCAGGCTCCGAGTTTCTACATACGGAAATATCTAACATGAAAATATACAAATACCTCCTTAACTTCCATTCTCTGTTAAGAATCGCAATTCATTTTCTTTTTATTTTTGGGGGGTAACTATTTTATTTACTCGCTTTTGTTTCTTACTATATATACATTTTTATCAATTATCTCAGATGTTTTTTAAGGTACTTAGCCTTGCCACATTTCACCGCTTTTATTTTTAGTATCTCATTTCACTTTATTTTACCTTGAAAGATATGCCCCCGAATTTCGCGTGGGCCAATCAGGTTAACGGGCGTGTAGCTCCAGCCAATCAGAGTCATTCTAGGTCGTGCCCCCTGTGTGATTTTCAGGGGCGATTTCACGCTCACGCTCACGACTGGCTGGACGCACGCTCCCGTAGACGCCCCCCCCTAGAATTCGTAAATGTAATCAAAAGCTAAGTATTCTCTGTATTTTGTGATGGTTTTGATATAAGCACGAAAGAAACAGTCACCGAACATTTTCTTGTGGCACGAGTGATGTATGTGGAATATAATTAATAAATTGTTAAACGGCAATTAAATATGATAAACCTATAGCAGTCCAGCCAGCCAGTCACCCTTATTTTAAATATAAAGATAATTTCTTGCACATCTACTAATTCTATTTATGATAAAATAAGATACGTATACGCATGAACATATTAATTTATATATTAAGCATGAGCACTTAAACTACTGAGTACAGAAAAATGGATAATGGAAATTAAACTAAATGAATAAAAATGGTAATGAGTGGATAACCTAATGTGATAGAATGATCAATAAATATATCATGATAACCAGACGAAAACGGTGGTGAACACGAGGCCGCAGCTACTTCCCAGTTTCAACGCAGACTACTATTTTATTAGCGCGTCGGGCACACACGACCAGACGACGACGCTACAATGTGTGTGCTGTGTGTGTTGTGTGTGTGTGTGTGTGTGTGTGTGTGTGTGTGTGTGTGTGTGTTTGTGTGTGTGTGTGTGTGTGTTGTGTGTTTAATGTGTGTGTTGGTGTTGGTGCGTGCATGTGTGTGTGTGTGTATGTGTGCGTGCATGTGTGTGTGTGTAAAGTGTGCGTGCATGTTGTGTGTTGTGTTTATGTGTGCGTGCATGTGTGTGTGTTGGTGTGTGCGTGTGTGTGTGTGTGTTTATGTGTGCGTGCATGTGTGTGTGTGTGTGTTGTGTGTTAATGCCGTGCATGTGCGTGCATGTGTGTGCAAGTATGTGTGTGTGTGTGTTGTGTGTTGCGTGCAAGAAGCGTCTTAGAGCATCGGACTTTAGATTCGTCGGCAAATCCAGGCCCGAGGGTTCGCGTCCCCCGACTGGCGCGTTCCTCCCTTTGGCAAGGAGCTTGACCTGACCGATCGCCTTCTGTAAAAGCCATCTGGGGGCACGCCGTCCTTCGTGGGGGCCGGTCCCAAGCCCTGATAAATAGAGAGGGTTGGAAGGGCATCCGGCTGTAAAAAGCCATGCCAAAACCAATATTGAATGACCCGTACTAGAGCAGTTCATCCATAACAGCGACCCCATATAGAAATGGGAAAGAACTAAGAAGATATACAGTATATGTATATGTAAATATATACATACATACATAGATATATATGTGTGTGTGTGTGTGTGTGTATGTATGTATGTATGTATATGAAAGAGTGGAAAGATTTTCATAGTTCATACATAACGGGGATCATTCATATATTCATATGTTGTTTCAAGTAAAGTTTATCATCATTTCGTCCTTTCATCTTATCATCATTTTCCCCCTATTTCTACATCCTTCATCCTTATTCGCTTTATCATTTTTAGATTTATTTTTATTTGAAAAGCTCCCCTCCTGTCATCTACTACATCACACGGCCTCTCTATTGGATTCCTATCGTTCTAGAACCCCCTCCCCATCTCTCTCTCCCCCGAAAAAAAAGAAATCCAAAAAGTTTACTCTTGATATATTACCGTCGCCTTATTACCTTCTGCTACCTGTCTGCAATAACGTTTAGCTCTTGTGTCGACTTCGTGCAAACTTGTTTGGGTTGCCATTGGTTCCGTCTTGCATTACAGTTGTGTGGCTTTGATTCATCATCTCTCTCTCTCTCTCTCCTCTCTCTCTCTCTCTTCTCTCTACTCTCTCTCTCTCTCCTCTCTCTCTCTCTCTCTCTCTCTCTCTCTGCTCTCTCTATTTCTTTCTCTCTCTCTCTCACTATATACATATGTATAGTATATATATAGAT